GTCCAGCTTCATTTGGATTATGCCCATTTGAGGAAACTGCGACTTAAGATGTTTAAATTAAGTAACTCACTCAAGGTCATACCTTGTATGGACTAAGTTGTGATTCAAGTTCAAGTCGGTTTGCCTCTACAGTCCATGATCAGGTGGGAAAATGCAAAGGAAAAGAGTGAGTGATGTCAGGCACTGAAGGAGAGGAAAACTGGGCAAGTCTTGGAGGCCTTTCAAGAGGGAATGGGAAACAAGGCATAGCTGGGGCCTGAGGAAGGGCCAAGTGCCAAATGGCTCGCAGAAGGTTTACTCAGAAGCTGCTGCAATGGCCTGAGTGGACAGAAGGAAGTGAGCCCAGGGACCAGGAAGAGACCAAGAGGAGGTGAGCAGGAAGGAAAGGAGGAGGATGATGCTCCGCTTTGGGTGACAGTGTAGATGGTCAGGGACCACCTGCAAACACAGAGGAGAAAGGGTTTGGAGGGGAGGCACTGTGTGGAGATGGTAATGCAAGTGAGTTCAGTTTTGAACACATTGAGTTTAATGTAGCAAGGGACATCCAGGCAGCTGCAATACAATAAAATAAGAGAAAATACAAATCTGGAGGGAGAGCAAGAGGTTGGAATCAGAAGTCACTAACACAGGCATATGAAAAGGTGCTCAACATCACCGATCATAAGAGAAATGCAAATCAAAACTATAATGAGATATCATCTCACTCCAGTTAAAATGGCTTCTATCGGCTGGGCGCAGTGGCTCATGCCTGTAATCCCAGCACTTTGGGAGGCCGAGGCGGGCGGATTACGAGGTCAGGAGATCGAGACCATCCTGGCTAACACGGTGAAACCCCGTCTCTACTAAAAATACAAAAATAGCCGGGCGTAGTGGCAGGCGCCCGTAGTCCCAGCTACTTGGGAGGCTGAGGCAGGAGAATGGCGTGAACCCGGAGGCGGAGCTTGCAGTGAGCGGAGATCCTGCCACTGCACTCCAGCCTGGGTGACAGAGTGAGACTCCGTCTCAAAAAAAAAAAAAAAAAAAAAAAAATGGCTTCTATCCAAGAGACAGGCAATAATAAATGCTGGCGAGGACATGGAAAAAGGGAACCCTTGTATACTGTTGGTAGGAATGGAAATTAGTCAAATCATAGTGGAGAACAGTTTGGAGTTTCCTCAAAAGACTAAAAATTGAACTACTGTATGATCCAGTAATCCCATTCCTGGGTATGTACCCCAAAGAAAGGAAATCAGTGTATCAAAGAGATAACTGCACACCCATGTTTGTTGCAGCAGTGTTTACAACAGCTAAGGTTTGGAAGCAACCTGAGTGTCCAAAAACAGATGAATGAATAAAGCAAATGTAGCACATAGATACAAGGGAATACACAAAAAAGAATGAGGGCCAAAGTTGTCTGTCTGCCAAGACAACAGAAACGTGATCATTTGCAACAACATGGATAGAACTGCAGATCATTACCTTAAGTGAAATAAGCCAGGCACAGAGACAAACATCACATGTCCTCATTTACTTGTGGGATCTAAAAATCAAATCCATTGAACTCATGGACATACAAAGTAGAAGGATGGTTACCAGAGGCTGGGAAGGATAGTGGGAAGTTGGTGGGGAGTGGGGATGGTTAATGGGTTAAAAAAAAAAAAAAAAAGAATAAGACCTACTATTCAATAGCACAATAGGGTGCCTATAGTCAATAATAACTTAATTGTTTACAATAACTTAAAGAATGTAATTGTATTGTTTGTAACTCAAAGGATAAATGCCTGAGGGGATGGATACCCCTTTCTCCAATGTGCTTATTTCATATTGCATGCCTGTATCAAAACATCTCATGTACCCCATAAATATATACACCCATGTACTCACAAAAATTATTATTTATTATTTATTTATATTTATTTATTTTGAGACAGAGTCTCACTCTGTCGCCCAGGCTGGAGTGCAGTGGTGCGATCTCGACTCACTGCAAGCTCCACCTCCCAGGTTCATGCCATTCTCCTGCCTCAGCCTCCCGAGTAGCTGGGACTACAGGCGGGAGCCACCACGCCCAGCTAATTTTTTTTGTATTTTTAGTAGAGACGGGGTTTCACTATGTTAGCCAGGATGGTCTCGATCTCCTGACCTCGTGATCTGCCCGCCTCAGCCTCCCAAAGTGCTGGGATTACAGACGTGAGCCACTGCGCCTGGCTGACCTAAAACTCTTAAAGGCTCACTCAGCCCCAATCAAGCTTGCTTTCTCTAGCATCTAGAACCTAGAAAATATCAAAACAACCACTTGCCCAGCACTAATTGGCTGTGGCATCAGGCGGTTTTATTGCTCTGTAATAAGGTTACTAAAGCTCTTTCTTGAAATTTTTTTTTAGACAAAGTTTCACACTGTTGCCCACGCTAGAGTGCAGTGGTGCAGTCTCTGCTCACTGCAACCATCCTCTCTCTGGTTCAAACAATTCTCTTGCCTCAGCCTTCTGAGTAGCTGGGATTACAGACAACTGCCACCATGCCTGGCTAATTTTTGTCTTTTTAGTAGAGATGGGGTTTCGCCATGTTGGCCAGGATGGTCTCGAACTCCTGACCTCAAGTAATCTGCCTGCCTCAGCTTCCCAAAGTTCTGGGATTACAAGCTTGAGTCACTGCGTCCGGCCTTTTGTTTAACCACTATGCACATGGATTTCCATCTGCCTTTTTTTTTTTTTTTTTTAAATACAGGGTCTCACTCTGTCGCCAGGCTAGAGTGCAGTGGCGCAATCTCCGCTCACTGTAATCTCCGTCTCCCGGGTTCAAGTGATTCCCCTTGCCTCAGCCTCCTGAGTAGCTGGGACTACAGGCACCCGCCAGCACGCCTGGCTAATTTTTTGTATTTTTTTTTTTTTTTTTTTTTTTGAGACGGAGTCTCACCCTGTCGCCCAGGCTGGAGTGCAGTGGCAGGATCTTGGCTCACTGCAAGCTCCGCCTCCCGGGTTCACGCCATTCTCCCGCCTCAGCCTCCGGAGTAGCTGGGACTACAGGCGCCCGCCACCGCACCCGGCTAATTTTTTGTATTTTTAGCAGAGACGGGGTTTCACTGTGTTAGCCAGGATGGTCTCGATCTCCTGACCTCGTGATCCACCTGTCTCGGCCTCCCAAAGTGCTGGGATTACAGGCGTGAGCCACCGCGCCCGGCCCTAATTTTTTGTATTTTAGTAGAGACAGGGTTCCACCATGTTGGCCAGGATGGTCTCGATCTCCTGATCTCGTGATCTGCCCGCCTCGGCCTCCCAAAGTGCTGGGATTACAGGTGTGAGCCACCGCGTCTGGCCTCCCATGTGCCTTTTACCTTACCCTATTACTAGTGGCTGCCTGAAGACCTCAGAACACCACGCATAGGAGATGCGCTTCCGATTCTAGGAAGGATTTCTAATGCTGTTTTATCTTTAGGGACTTGCTACTGCGCTTCTGTCTGCCAAGCCAACAGAAACGTGGCTTAGAAACAATGCTTTTTGGTTGGAAGGCAGTCTCGCTAGGGGTCTTTGGGGGCCTTTCCTAGGACACTGAACCAACGGCATTTCATAGCTACTACAGAAAATACCCCAGACTTTGGCCCATAAGATCTCTCGTATTATACTGCAGATCTACCAATGGCAGTCAGACCTAGAGGCAGATGCAATCTTCGGTTCGCGGGTTGGGAGCAGTCTTGTGGAACAAAGTCACCGCCTAGTTCTGACATGGTACAGGAAGGAAACACACAGAGATTAAGATTTAGGCAAGAGGCCAAGCGCAGTGGCTCACACCTGTAATCCCTGCACTTTGGGACGGCCGAGATGGCCGAGGCGGGCGGATCACTTGAGGTCGGGACTTGGAGAGACCAGCCTGATCAATATGGAGAAACCCCATCTCGGCCGGGCGCGGTGGCTCAAGCCTGTAATCCCAGCACTTTGGGAGGCCGAGACGGTCGGATCACGAGGTCAGGAGATCAAGACCATCCTGGCTAACCCGGTGAAACCCCGTCTCTACTAAAAAAAATACAAAAAACTAGCCAGGCGAGGTGGTGGGCGCCTGTAGTCCCACCTACTCGGGAGGCTGAGGCAGGAGAATGGCGTGAACCCAGGAGGCGGAGCTTGCAGTGAGCTGAGATCCGGCCACTGCACTCCAGCCTGGGCGACAGAGCGAGACTCCGTCTCAAAAAAAAAAAAAAAAAAAAAAAAGAAACCCCATCTCTACTAAAAATACAAAATTAGCCAGGTGTGGTGGCGCACGCCTGTAATCCCAGCTACTCGGGAAGCTGAGGCAGGAGAATCGCTTGAACTCGGGAGGCGGAGGTTGCGGTGAGCCGAGATGGCGCCATTGCATTGCACTCCAGCCCGGGCGACAAGAGCGAAACTTTGTCTCAAAAAAACAAAACAAAACAAACAAACAAAACACAAAAAAACCCCAAAACACTTAGACAAGGCCAGGTGCCTGGGTCGAGGCCAGGCATCCTCTCACTTAGCAGTCTTTCTTTCACAACACACTGATCCCCGTGTTCGGCATATTGTGGGGAGTTGCAGGGCATTCCTTTCCCTGGACATAAATTTCCATCGTTTACTGGTGACATCAAATCACAAGAGGCCAGAATGCAATTTTGAAGTCAGAATCTCAGCCAGAAACGAAGTTGGCCTCTTGTCGAGAAGCCGAATAACTGGATGGACGCTCTCATCCGCTTCGCAGACGGGCGCACCCGGTGCAGAGGTGAGGTGACTTCTGCGTTTGGGTAGAGCGGCGTCGGCTTTAGGTGTCCACAGTACCGAAGCTAGCCTTTTACCAAAAGGCAATATCTGTAATGGTCCCTCACAAACAGCAGTCCCCAAATACAGCCGCGCCTGGACCTCGACGAAGGGGGTACTAACGCTTTGGGGAGAGCCCACGGTCCGCGCCGGCGCCTGGAGGCCGGGTACAGCCCAGAGGGCTTCGCGTCCCCAGCCCAGCCCCAGCGCGGGGGATGGAGCAGTCGAGAGGGCGGCCTCCCGCCGCCTAGAGGCGCCGGCCCGCTTGTCCGCTCTGCCTGTGCCCCGTCTCTATGGCGGACCCAACGGCCGTCCAGGACGTGGAGCGAGATGAGCTGGGATGCTGACGGCGGCAGTGGCGCCGAGGTGGCTGCACTGTCGGACAAGGGCAGTCCCGGGGAGGACGGTTTCGTCCCGTCGGCGCTGGGGACCCGCGAGCAGTGAGTGTGACGCTGGGCAGGGGAGGATGAGCCGTGCCGCCCTGCCTGGGCCCCGAGAAGGGGACGGCGGGGTAGAGACCCAGGGCTCGGGGACAGGGAGACCCTCGGGAGCGTTACGGGAGCAGGGCCACCTGGCGGGGGTCTCAGGGGGATTTGAAAGAGTGGAATCTCTAGGGGTCGCCCTGCGCGGTTAACCGACGTTTCAAGCCATGGGAGCCCAAGGGGCTTGTGGGTGCGGGACAGGCTTTGAAGCTCCTGGGAGGCCTTCTGAGAGTCTCGAACCGAGGCCCAGGCTTGGGGGAAAGGGGGAGAGGGCGAGGCTGGCGAATAGGGCTGGTGGGCGAGAGTGAGAGACCGAGGGAGAAGTGCTGGGCCTGGGAGCTGAAAAGGCTAAGGGTAGGAGGGGAGGGATGTGGGAGCTAGAAGTGGGGTGGGAATAGCGGATGGCGCGAGGCGGGAGCGAGGAAGAGGGTGGGGGATCATGGGGTGAGAGAAAGCGATCTGACGTAAAATAGACGCTCAGGAATTATTAAATGAATTAATGTGGGTGGATCAATAACTGCAGGGAACCGCTGGGGAGAGGTAAATTGGCGGGATGAGAGGGAGCAGGGATTCTAGAGAATCACTGTAGGAAAAGACAAGGCAAATGGAAAGGATCCGGAGGACCGGGTGCAGTGGCTCACGCCTGTAATCCCAGCACTTTGAGAGGCGAGGCGGGCGGATCACGAGGTCAGGAGATCGAGACTAGCCATGACCAACATGGTGAAACCCCCGTCTCTACTAAAAATACAAAAATAAGCCAGGGTGGTGGCGCACGCCTGTAGTCCCAGCTACTCGGGAGGCTGAGGCAGGAGAATCGCTTGAACACGCGAGGCGGAGGTTGCAGTGAGCAGAGATCGCGCCACTGCGCTCCAGCCTGGCGACAGAGCGAGACTCCGTCCCAAAAAAGAAAGAAAAGCGTTGAGAGAAAATTTAAACGGAGGGCTAGAAGACTGGAATAGGCAGAGACAAATAGCACGGGAAAGAGACTGTGTGCCTGCACGCTTGAGACCAGATGTGCTTGTTTCATCAAGTTTTGAACTTGGGTCAGGGACTTAGGGATACGTGGACAAATGTCTGTGTTTTTTTAGGCTAAAACTTATTGTTGTGCGTCAGATACTGTCGTAAATGCTTTACGTGTACAGTATAAATGTATTCTGCTTGCCCAGGTATTTCATTCTTTTAACTCAAGGGTGTTAAAAGATTGAACTATGTGTACTTATTAATAACACTAGTGATGTTTTAAACCTCTGTCATAAATAGCTCTGTAATGTATTAGAAACATACATTTCATTCATAATACAGTTTAATTCAAAAGTTTCGCTTTGCATTTCATTGTTTTCATAGTTGGGATGCTGTCTATGAGAGAGAACTGCAAACTTTCCGAGAATTTGGAGATACAGGTGAAATCTGGTGAGTTAGGAAAAGAATCAAGTTATAATCTAGAAGATTGTATGTATATGTGTGTGTTTAAACAAATATGTATATATTCAAGTGCTTATACCCAAAGAAAGCTTAAAAATCCTGGGAACCCTGGATTAAGTCTGGCTTTAGTGGGTAGATTTAAAGTATGTCTCTTCTTTTATTATTTTTTATTTTTTACTTTTTTTTTTTTTTTTTAAGAGAGGTGGGGTATCATTCTGTCATCCAGGCTGGAGTACAGTGGCATGATCATCATAGCTCACTACAGCCTGCACCTCCTGGGCCCAAGTGATCTTCGCGCCACAGCCTCCTGGGTAGCTGGGACTATAACTGTGTGCCACCATGCCCAGCAAATTTTCTTTTTTGTAGAGACAGGGTCTCACTGTGTTACCCAGGCTGTCTCAGACTCCTGGCCTCAAGCAGTCCTCCCACTGTGGCCTTCCCAAATGTTGGGAGAATGGGTGTGAGTCCTCTTTTAAAATCTCACATTTACATTTGATGACAACATTTCACCCTGTAGTTGTCCTTTGTCAATAAGCAATAAAATTTTGAGCCACCAACACATACAAGTGTTAATGCTGATACAGAGAAATGTTAGTAACATACTGACCTTGTCTATTCTGTTGTATTCCTGGAGGTGGTTTCTTCTAAATTACAGTAGAGACAAAGCTTAAGCAGTCACAGATGTTGTCACTTTCAAATAAGAGTTTGAGCATATGGTATAAATAGCTTAAATGGAATGTAGTGGTGACTTTTGCTCTGTACCCCTCAGTTATTTGACTGATTCTCTCTAACAGGTTTGGAGAAGAGAGTATGAACCGACTAATAAGGTGGATGCAGAAACACAAGATTCCATTGGATGCTTCAGTGCTTGATATTGGAACTGGAAATGGTGTTTTCCTGGTTGAACTTGTTGGTACTTTTAGTATTTGTTCGTTAGAGACAAATTTTAAGATGAAAATTTTTAAAAGCCCTGCAATTGTGGATATTAACCATGTAAATATAAAACAGTAAAGCAGTCATACTTTGAGAAGTCACATAGTACAAAAGGGAGGGTACATGGATTGTGAGAGAACCTAGGCAATCTCAGTCCTAGTCTTGACTTCTGGCTATAGCCTTATTCTTGAGCAAGCCACTTAATTTTTCTAGGCTTCAGTTCTTCCCTAAGGGTTGTAACTAGGTGATTGCTGTTGGTTTCTTGTAGATCAAAACTCTGGAAATACATATATATACACACACACACACACATATATACATACACACACACACATATATATATATAAAAATATGACCTTCTGCCATTCCAGTAGGACATACATATGTTAGGTGAGCATATGGTTTGAAAAGCACATTTTGTCCATGGAACTGTGTTTTGGTAAACATTCCACTGCTAGCTAAACCATCGCTGTTGTATGCCTGTAGTGTGCTCTTGCTATGCTGTGTGCTATGGAGGAATTATAAGACTTAGGTTTCATCCTAGATAGTTTTACAGTCTTAATTAGTACAGAAATAAACATAAGAGTGAAATTTGTTGAGTAACCGCCACATGCCAAGCCTCATGTTTGGCATTGGCAACATGAAAATTTAGACTTAGTGCTTGAATTGTTTACATTACAATAGAGTATGGACTGACCTAGACAGTTGTGCTATCACTTGATGCATGCAGTATTACACTGAATATAGAAAAGAGGGTGATTAATTTTGGAGTGGAAGGATAGGGAAGCATCTTGGAGGAGTTAATATCCAAGTTGGGTGGAAATTTCAAGGACAGTATGGTGACCTAGTGGAGTGTAAAGAGGGAGAAAATTTCAACTAATGGAAATATTATCTAAAGGCATGAAGGCTGAAGCAGTATTTTATGTTCTGGGCCTGTAAATAATTTGACAAATTGAAATACAAAGTATCCGTGGGGATGGACAGACATGAGGATTAAGTTAAAGATAGGAACCATATTATGCTTTGCCATGCTTAAGAGCTTCAATTTTGCATTTAGGCTATGGGGAATTGTTAAAGTGTTTTTAGTAGTGGAATATGATTAGAAATATTTGAAATAACCCTTTTTGAAACATTGAGATATAGTATGTATACATTAAAATGCACAAATCAGAAGTGTACAGCTAAGTGAATTATCAGAAAGTGAATACATCCACGTTAACAATCACCTGGTCAAGATGTAAAATATTACAGAACTCTAGAAATTCCCCTTTAACTCCCTACCAATTGTTGCTCCGTCCTTCCTTTTTTTTTTTTTTTTTCCAGGCAAGGTCTCACTTTGTCACCCAGGTGGGAGTGCACTGGTGTGATCATGGCGCATTGTAGCCTCAACCCCTCAGGCTCAAGTGATCCTGTCTCCTCATTTTTTGATTTTTTTCATAGAGACAAGGTCTCACTCTGTTGCCCAGGCTGGCCCTCCTTCCTTTTTAAAAGTAACCACTATCTACCAATCATGAACCAAAGATGAGTTTTAACATCAGATTAATTTACCTGTTTTCATTTATACATTTGAAAGTATAAATGAAACTCTTTAGGATGTGCTATTTCTGGTGTCTTTCAGGTTTTTTTTTTTTTTTTTTTTGAGACGGAGTTTTGGCTGTTATCACCCAGGCTGGAGTGCAGTGGCACGATCTTGGCTCACGGCAACCTTCACCACCTGGGTTCAGGCAGTTCTCGTGCCTCAGCCTCCTGAGTACCTTGGATTACAGGCACACGCCATTATGTCTGGCTATGTAGTTCATTTTTATTGCTGTATAAGATTCCTTTGTGTCCAGGCACGGTGGCTCATGCCTGTTATCCGAGCACTTTGGGAGGCTGAGGCAGGTGGATCACAAGGTCAGGAGATTGAGACCATCCTGGCTAACACGGTGAAACCCCGTCTCTACTAAAAATACAAAAAATTAACTGGGAGTGGTGGCGGGCACCTGTTTTCCCAGCTACTCGGGAGGCTGAGGCAGGAGAATGGTGTGAACCCGGGAGGCAGAGTTTGCAGTGAGCGGAGATCAGCCTGGGCAACAGAGTGAGACTCCATCTCAAAAAAAAAAAAAAAAAAGATTCCTTTGTACAATGATATCAGTTTCATTTATTCTTTGTTTACTTACATAGGTTCTTTTGAGTTTTAAAAGTTTACTGGTAGAGGCTAATGATTTATCCTTCAAGATTAATAGCCTATAGATTGCTTTCTTTCTTTTTTTTTTTTTGAGATAGAGTTTCACTCTGTAGCCCAGGCTGGAGTGCAGTGGTGCCATCTTGACTCACTGCCACCTCTGCCTCCTGGGTTCAAGCAATTCTCCTGCCTCTCAGCCTCCCAAGTAGCTGGGACTACAGGCTCATACCACCATGTCCGGCTAATTTTTTTGTATTTTTAGTAGAGACAGGGTTTCACCCTGTTGGCCAGGCTGGTCTTGAACTCCTGACCTCAAGTGATCTGCCCGCCCTGGCCTCCCAGAGTGCTAGGATTACAGGTATGAGCCACCGTGCCTGGCCAGTTTGTAGATTCTTTTAGGCTTTCTTCACTTATGTACACTATGAATAGTGGCAATTTTATTTTTTTCTTCCCAATCCTTTATAAATTTTCCTCTTACTACATTGTCTAGGACCTGCAGTAGAATGTTGAAAAGAAGTGGTGGTAGAAGACATCGTTCTTTTCCCTTTTCAGAAAATGCTTTCAATATTTCAGTCTTAGGTGTGATGTTAGCTGTTTGTTTTGTAGATAACTCCATATCAGATTAAAGAAGCTATTCCTGCTTTGCTAAGAGAGGTGTGTGTGTGTGTGTGTGTGTGTGTGTGTGTGTGTGTGTATGTGTATATATGTATGTGTGTTTCTTGTTTTTTTTTTTTTTTGTTGAGACGGAGTCTCACTCTGTCACCCAGGCTGGAGTGCAGTGGTACAGTCTTGGCTCACTGCGAGTTCTACCTCCCAGGTTCAAGTGATTCTCGTGCCTCAGCCTCCCCGGTAGCTGGGATTACAGGTGTGCACTACCATACCCAGCTAATTTTTTGTATTTTTAGTTGAAATGGGATTTCGTCATGTTACCTAGGCTGGTCTCGAACTCCTGAGCTCAGGTGATCTGCCCGCCTTGGCCTCCCAAAGTGCTAGGATTACAGGTGTGAGCCACCACACCTGGCTGGTGTCTTTTTTTTTTTTTTTTTTTTAATTTGGAGACGGAACCTCACTCTGTCTCCTGGGCTGGAGTGCTGTGGTGTGATCATAACTCCCTGCAGCCTTGAACACTTAGGCTCAAGCAATTCTCCTGCCTTGGCTTCCCAAGTAGGTGGGATTACAGGCACCCAACACCACACTTGGCTGTGTGTGTTTTTCTTATGAATCTTGTTGTTTGTCAAATGTTTTTCCTGTTATCAAGATAATCAAGTAATTTTTCTCTTACAGTCTATTAATGTTGATAAATTATGTTGGCCCATTTTCAAATGTTAAGTGTATTTCTGGAATAAACCAAACTCATATATGCCACTAGATTCAGTTTAATATTTTGTTTAGGATTTTTGCAGCTCTCTCCTGATGGAGATTGTCCTTTAATTTTCTTCTGATGCTACTGTCGAGTTCTGTTGTCAGGTTATGCTGGTATCATTAGTTGAAATTCTATTTTTTGAAATTTTACGAATGGTGTTACTCGCTGGGCGCGGTGGCTCACGCCTGTAATCTCAGCACTTTGGGAGGCCGAGGTGGGCGGATCATGAGGTCAGGAGATCAAGACCATCCTGGCTAGCACAGTGAAACCCTGTCTCTACTAAAAATACATAAAATTAGCTGGGTGTGGTGGCAGGCACCTGTAGTCCCAACTACTCAGGAGACTGAGGCAGGAGAATGGCTTGAAGCCGGGAGGCCGAGCTTGCAGTGAGCCGAGATCGTACCACTGCATTCCAGCCTGGGCGACAGAGCGAGACTCCGTCTCCAAAAAACAAAACAAAACAAAAAAAGTGTTACTTCTTCCTTCAATGTTTGTTAGAATTCACTGGTGAAACCACCTAGATGAAGGGTCGTTTTTGGGAAGTCTTTTTCTTTGTTGAGGTGAATTTTTCTTTTCCTTTTCTTTTTCTTTTTTGAGACAGAATCTTGCTCTGTCACCCAGGCTGGAGTGCAGTGGTTCCATCTTGGCTGACTACAGCCTCTGCCTTCTGGGTTCAAGCGATTTTCCTGCCTTAGCCTCCTGAGTAGCTGGGATTGCAGGCATATACCATGCCTGGCTAATTTTTGTATTTTTAGTAGAGATGGGGTTCTGCCATGTTGGCCAGCTGTTCTCAAACTCCTGACCTCAGGTGATCCATCTGCCTGCCTTGACCTCCTGGAGTGCTACTATTACAGGTGTGAGCCACTCTGCCTGGCCTGAACTTCTTAATTGAAGTGTAGTTTATGTAGAAAGGTGAGCATATGTGGTACAAAATGAACCCCTTGGGTTATTCACCAACGCTACTAAAAAAAAATAAGACATTTCTAGTACCATAGAAGCCTCCTTGTGGCCCCTCCCACTCCTTCCCTTCTAAAGGTGACCACTGCTGTCACTTCTATCAGATAGGCTGTTTTTGGTATTAACTGTAGTAGCTTCTTACGGTTTTAATTTGCATTTCTCTAATGAGTAATGATGTTGAGCACCTTTTCATGTGCTTATTTGCCACCTGTATATCTTTTTTTTTTTTTTGAGACGGGGTCTCGCTCTGTTGCCCCGGTTGGAGTGCAGTGGGATGATCTTGGCTCACTGTAATCTCCACCTCCTGGGTTCAAGTGATTCTCGTGCTTTAGCCTCCTAAGTAGCTGGGATTACGTGCACCAGCACGTTCGGCTAATTTTTTTGTATTTTTAGTAGACGCAGGTTTTACCATGTTGGCTAGGCTGGTCTCGAACTCCTGACCTCAGGTGATCTACCCACCTTGGCCTCTCAAAGTGCTGGGATTACAAGTGT